TCTAATGCTGTCGTATCTTTGCCTCTTTGCCTTAGTGAGAGCGTGTGGTTGTCTCACTCTGCGTGTTAGTCCTGTCGCAGATCGGCAGCCTGTCCAGGATGTACTCCGCCTCTCGCTGGAGGACAGCTGGGACAAGCTCCAGCCCCCCAGTGTGGCTTTGTAGCCACTGTGCCAAAGATGTGTTGACACTTGTTATTTCAAAATAGATTTACTGTGAAAGCGAGACGTTTCAAATACTGCAGAAAACCGGTTAAGAGATATGAAGGATGTGTTATAACTCATAAAGGTTAATGAACCTTTAAAACATTATTTTATTTATTTATTTTACTTCCTACATGACTTTGGTCCATTTTTTGTTTTCTTTGTTTGCTTGTTACAATTTCTATCCTTAAAAATTCATAAAATCTATGAACTGAACTGATGACAGAATAGATGATCCTCCCACTGTGGGAGAATCCAGCTGCCACTCTGAGTTATTGCAGGCGATGTGAGCCAAGCTCTCACTACAGTCCTTCAGGGAGGATCAGATCCCTCATATTCCCAAACAAGACTATATCTAGACTGGTTGGGCACACGCTTCTATACCTTGAAATATGTATGAGACAATAAAAACTGAGACTCTGAGATTTAACCAGTACACGGACTCTCCAGGACACCATGAAGGGCAGAGGGTGGTCAAAGGATCTCAACTGTTTTTCTCTGATTTTCATCAAGTGTCTGAGTCCACACGTCTCAGTTGGAAAAAGTAGGAGTTCTGATTGTGTCACATCAAAGAGTGAGGGAACAGTGGAGGAGACTGACAGACAGATCTGTGCAGTGTCGGCAGTAATGTGGATCATCCACATGGAAAGGATCCAGTTGCGATGGTTCGGGTATCTGACTAGGTGAGGTGTCTTTGGGAGAGATTATGTCCTCTACAGGAGCTGGAGGAGGTGGCTGAGAGGCACAGGGAGGTCTTGCCATCTCTGCCCACACTGCAGCTCCCCTGCTCTGTGTCAAGCACCCAGAAGATGGATGGATGTGTTACACTGAAAATGTCAATGTGATTTTTAATGAGATTCTTTTCTATTAAAGCAAAACACAAACTTTTAAAATCTGAGTCTGTTCACTCATGGTATAAATAACCTCATGCTCCTCCCAAACAGCTCTGTGAACCCACATCAGCACTTCAAGAGAAATGTTCATTTAGAGCAGGATGTTTGGTGGCATGCCGGTCATGTCCAGATGTTCCCCAGAATTCATTAGGCAGTGATTTTTCTGCTGTCAGCAGGCATCTCTAGTGTGATCTCTTTGATAAATGGGATATTTTGACCATCAGAGCATATTTTCTTCTGTATTATTTTCAACATGTCTGCTTTACTTTGCTGTTAAAGAACAATAATGACAATCAGCCAGTCATGTGCTGCATTTTGGCTTGAACATGTGTCGACCTT